GTAAGCCCTTATCGTTTTATTTCTCTATTTTGCTGTATAATCTTTTGTAAAGGGTGTGGGGAGAGAGCCTTCTGCTTTTCGAACCTTGACTCACACACATACCTGAGTAATACACGTTAGTCCTTAATATAGATAGAAGCAGACATTGCCTAGCAGATAGTCTTAGTGGGTTTGGGTTTGAGAAAGACGTGCCTAGTACGGGCCAGTAGCCCTGTTGCAGTGCTCCTCCTTTCTTATGTTCTGTTAGTAAGTCCTTTGCTTTGACTCACGAAATCGTATTGACACGATTGCAAACAAACCACACCACGGGCGGGGATCGAACCCGCGATCTCTGATAGCGGGTTCTATCCCCGCCCATGGTATGTTTACCTCTGCTTTCTGTATTTACCATATATTTCCATATACTTCCGTGGCAGAATGAGGTTTCAGTGATGCTAGCAGACGCTTAGAGGTTAGTAAACCAAGGGACGACTCCTTTCTAGTTTGGTATAAACCTTGGTAATAGATACCGTCAAACTGGTTTAAAAAAACACGCCAGCCAACACTACAACATCCTTACTAAATAACGTTTTGGTCCTGAGACCTTGATCAAGGTCCAAGACCGAAATGTTTTCTAATATATAAAGGTATTTTCTCACGTGTCTTTCTAAACTTTCTAGCTTAACCAAGTTTCCCCTATACAGATTTAACACTTCAGACATTATTACTCAACTTGAAGTTATAATGAGCAGACGAAGTAGGCAACTTAAGTTATTAATAACATTGTGGCAAGTGCAAGTTAGGCCCTGGAGCTGGAGATTACCAGCCCATCAATATTATCGTAGCTTATGTTAGTAATATTTGATCAACGCGAGTATGAGATATATCAGTACTTACAGAGTTAGTAAGATGTTCGGAGACTGAATATAACATGAACAAAATAACGGGAACACCGACTGAGTGAACTGTTGAATAACTGAATAATCAGTTTAAATGATTCACGAAGTCGTAATGACACGATTGCAAACAAACCATATCACGGGAGGGGGTAGAACTCGCGTCGGTTTGGAGTTTTATGATTCCCTGATCGCGGGTTCCATCCCCGCCCGTGGTATAGTTGAATCATTTCAAAAATGTTACAAGACCCTTGTTACTCTGTCTTCCAAGACAGAAGTGGAACACTTAAATTGACCCCCACAATCACCGGATCTAAATATTACGGAGCGTCTGTCAGGCAGCCATTTCCTTCACCGTCGTCTCTGGAAGAGCATCTCCTGGATGCTGTTCAGATGCTGTGTGAATCAATCACAATCACCGGATCTAAATATTACGGAGCGTCTGTCAGCAGCCATTTCCTTCACCGTCGTCTCTGGAAGAGCATCTCCTGGATGCTGTTCAGATGCTGTGTGAATCAATCACAATCACCGGATCTAAATATTACGGAGCGTCTGTCAGGCACCATTTCCTTCACCGTCGTCTCTGGAAGAGCATCTCCTGGATGCTGTTCAGATGCTGTGTGAATCAATCACAATCACCGGATCTAAATATTACGGAGCGTCTGTCAGGCAGCCATTTCCTTCACCGTCGTCTCTGGAAGAGCATCTCCTGGATGCTGTTCAGATGCTGTGTGAATCAATCACAATCACCGGATCTAAATATTACGGAGCGTCTGTCAGACAGCCATTTCCTTCACCGTCGTCTCTGGAAGAGCATCTCCTGGATACTGTTCAGATGCTGTGTGAATCAGTTCCTCGACGAACTGGTGCTGTGTTAGCTGCAGATGAACAATTCCATAATGAACATGAAAGATGCTTTAGAACAAGATGTTCATATTGTTCAACCCTTGTGTGTAATACTTGTGCCTACTAAAAATACAGAGAGTTCGTAACGATGGCAGGCTATCGGATAGGATAGGATGGCAGGCCAGTGAACTATCCACCATTGGGTAGGATAAGATAGCAGGCCAGTGAACTATCCACCATTGGATAGGATAGGATGGCAGGCCAGTGAACTATCCACCATTGGGTAGGATAAGATAGCAGGCCAGTGAACTATCCACCATTGGATAGGATAAGATAGCAGGCCAGTGAACTATCCACCATTGGATAGGATAAGATAGCAGGCCAGTCAACTATCCACCACTGGATAGGACAGGATGGCAGGCCAGTCAACTATCCACCATTGGGTAGGATAAGATAGCAGGTCAGTGAACTATCCACCATTGGATAGGATAAGATAGCAGGCCAGTGAACTATCCACCATTGGGTAGGATAAGATAGCAGGCCAGTGAACTATCCACCATTGGATAGGATACGATAGCAGGCCAGTCAACTATCCACACCATTGGATAGGACAGGATGGCAGGCCAGTCAACTATCCACACCATTGGATAGGACAGGATGGCAGGCCAGTCAACTATCCACCATTGGATAGGACAGGATGGCAGGCCAGTCAACTATCCACACCATTGGATAGGACAGGATGGCAGGCTAGTCAACTATCCACCATTGGATAGGACAGGATGGCAGGCCAGTCAACTATCCACACCATTGGATAGGACAGGATGGCAGGCCAGTCAACTATCCACCATTGGATAGGACAGGATGGCAGGCCAGTCAACTATCCACACCATTGGATAAGACAGGATGGCAGGCCAGTCAACTATCCACCATTGGATAGGACAGGATGGCAGGCCAGTCAACTATCCATACCATTGGATAGGACAGGATGGCAGGCCAGTCAACTATCCATACCATTGGATAGGACAGGATGGCAGGCCAGTCAACTATCCACACCATTGGATAGGACAGGATGGCAGGCCAGTCAACTATCCACACCATTGGATAGGACAGGATGGCAGGCCAGTCAACTATCCACACCATTGGATAGGACAGGATGGCAGGCCAGTCAACTATCCACACCATTGGATAGGACAGGATGGCAGGCCAGTCAACTATCCACACCACTGGATAGGACAGGATGGCAGGCCAGTCAACTATCCACATCATTGGATAGGACAGGATGGCAGGCCAGTCAACTATCCACACCACTGGATAGGACAGGATGGCAGGCCAGTCAACTATCCACACCATTGGATAGGACAGGATGGCAGGCCAGTCAACTATCCACACCATTGGATAGGACAGGATGGCAGGCCAGTCAACTATCCACATCATTGGATAGGACAGGATGGCAGGCCAGTCAACTATCCACACCATTGGATAGGACAGGATGGCAGGCCAGTCAACTATCCACATCATTGGATAGGACAGGATGGCAGGCCAGTCAACTATCCACTTTCATCATAACTTCTTTTTTGAATAATAACCCACATGGAAACAGAAACTCGGGAGATTAATTGATCTATGTATTTCGACCTCCTTCTGGGGCCCTCTTCAGCAGATGTTTTAATGTTTATATGTACGTGTTGTTTCCCTTTTATTTTCTTGTGACGCCAGACGCAGGCTGGTCAGCGTTGCGTAAAATCTGTGCGTTATTAACGCCAACGCGAACGTTACGAGTTATGCTAATTACATCATTATATTCATGGTTTGTTGGTTTTTTGACTGGCATAAACATGTGTGTATTTTGTGGCTCTGTCTGGTTTATGTGATATATTAACCCGCCTTCTTCTTCTTCTTTGTCTTCTTTCTGATTACAGCGTCTGATTTCCGTTCTTGGTGATACACGATAGTCTTTAATCTAGATAAACATAAGAACATATGAAAGGAGGATCACTGCAACAGGCCTGTTGGCCCATACTAGGCAGGTTCTTTACAATCCATCCCACTAACAAAACATTAACCCAACCCAATTTTCAGTGCCACCCAAGAAATAAACTCTGATAACTCTATCCTCTAGAGCCTCAGAGTAGATTCACATGACTCACATGACCTCTATAAACAAAACAAATAATTCACATTAATCACTAAACCCATGTGGGTCATTCAGGACAAGACTTGGGGAAGGCTCAATCCTCAGTCAACTTATATACCATCAGTGTGTTGATATCCAATTCTATATCATAGTTATATAGCCTGAAAAAAACTAGCTATGTTTGCATGCTATATTCCGCGACACAGTGAGGATATCACATATTGATTAAATCTTGATATCCTGGGCTGGTAGATTAAATGGCCTTGAAGATATCAAATCTCTGTAAATTCTTCTAGTAATGTCGGTTAAATTACTGATAATATGGTAGGTAACAAGTACAACTAACACAAGTACAACTAACGTGACATTTTATTGTGGCAACGTTTCGCTCTCCAGGAGTTTTGTCAAGCCTTTTGACAAAGGTAAGTTCTTGGCTTCTATGGCTGTTCCAAAGGTTTGATTCCAACGGAGGCATAGTTTAAACGGAAACTTTTGCAGAGGCAACGTTTAGCACAGACGAAACGTTTCACGGGAGAAACGTTGTCTCAGTAAAAACATGTATCTATCGTGATGATAAATTAGACACATGTGCAACACTTGGGTATCTTTAATGAGGAAACGTTTCGCCACACAGTGGCTTCATCAGTCCATACAAAGGAGAAACTTGAAGAACAGGAGGAGAATGAGGTAATCAGTCCCTCAACCTTGAGTCGATGTGTTCAGTCCATCAATCTTGAATAGATTGAGTCCATCAAGATTGATGGACTGACCACATCGACTCAAGGTTGAGGGACTGATTACCTCATTCTCCTCCTGTTCTTCAAGATTCTCCTTTGTATGGACTGATGAAGCCACTGTGTGGCGAAACGTTTTCTCAATAAAGATACCCAAGAGTTGCACATGTGTCTAATTTATCAACGTGTCGGTTCTCTGAATCATTCATCTACAATCTATCGTGATCTATTTCAATCACTCTATCGTCTTCTTGCTCCCTCTGTCTATTGTTACCTGGGAATTACCATCTCCCACAATGTCATATTCTGCTACCAGAAAAAAACACATGAAATATGCAAGAAAATACGTGAAAAACATCATCACAAAGCGAAATAACCAGATTTAAAACTAGAAAAAAATGGTATACCTGA